CCGGCCACCTGAGCATGCGCTGCAGCATCTTGGTGTGCCGCGCTGCTCACCCTGGAGCGCGATGTCCCTTTCTTGGAGGAGGTGGGGCGAGGCCGCCCCGTCACCGTTAGGTTCAACAGCTTAACCAATTAAGCAGAATCCCACCACGCGAGGGACCTCTCCAGCCTGGCTGTATTTGCTGCCTCCTAGGAGGGATGTAAAAACCCATTTAATTGGTTAACGGGTTAAACAATTAAAAAGGGGTGGCAGGGGTGAGGGGGAAGGCACTCCAGCCCCAATGGGCTGGAGCAGCCCCCTCCACTGCAGACAAGGGCTGCTGCGGCCAGGCATCCCTGTCTGTGGTGTGGGAGGAGGAGGGAAGGGGACAGACGGGCTACTCTGGCCATCTGCTTATAGTAGTCCCTGCCTGTGGCACCCCGCCTAAGCCAGGCCCGCCACAGACAAGGGCTACTCTAACCTCTACCAGTTAACCAGAACTGATAAGCCTCACCTATTAAGGATGAGGTTTACCAATTAACTGGTTAACCATTTGCATCCCTAACTCTCAGCCCCATTCGGGACCGCTGCTTCTGGCTCCAGCCCATGACACCATGGGCCCAGTGGGGATCAAAGCAGCCCTCTGCTTGCTGTGGGCTGCATGGGTCTGCTACAAGAGCCAGTTAACTGTTACCCTGTAATCATCACCCGGTGAGGGTGATGCTTACCAGGTAACCAGTTAACTTGTTACCCATTCACATCCCTAATGACTATCAGACTATTTATGTGTATTCCTGGCCATTATTTGGCCCATAGATAGTGCTTGTTTAATTATATTATATTTTCACTTACTAAAAGTGTTTCCGCAAAACGTGATTGGAAAGCAGCTGTTCCCCCTTTGCGGTATTGCCTGTTATGTTGAATACCCAGATGATTCTGTTTAGTCAGCATCTGGTTAAATATTTTCTTGCTGTCTTGAAACTGCAGAAGATGTTTCCATGAAGTATCTTATCCTGTTTCATGGATTTGGCGCTCAGTTTTATTAAAACAATATGCTCATCCCAATAAATCTTTGTTGGTAGAACTGAAATGTAGTTAGATAAAAGGATAAAGTGAGTCAAGCATTAACTGTGAAAGCTGTGACTGCTTTTTTGCATTATAGCATATATAAATCTGATCGAATATATATGCTGCAATATATACAGTAATGGAACTGTTTTTGTTTCTTTTACAAATATTTATTAATTTTTTATTACACTAGGTATTTATTACACTGGGAATTTTTCCCTCAGTCCCAAACTATGAAACTATGATGAAAATATTGATGAATGAAGATTTATGAAGCGTCTAACTCCAGAAACCGTCTGAAACCAAATTTCAGAAAGTAACTAATGATTTTTGGGTGTCTCATGTTTTGAGTACTCGTTGCGAAGATATCTAGAAGGGGACTGTTTTTGAAAGTGCTGATCCCTGAAAATCAGGTCTGTTGAGGTGTCTCAGACTGAACCTCACAAAATAAAACATCAAAAACCACAGACCTGTTTTGAAAATGTAGGCTTGTGTGTTTCACCCCTGCTGCTTGAGAACTAGGAAGTGAATCTTAAAATGGATTGAGAAAGGAGGAAGCCTATTTTAAATTTATGCCTAGCATGCAGGTTACTCCTCTCTTCAGGTCTGGGTATGTGAGACTTCTCCAATTTATTTATACTTGGAGTATGACTGTCTGATTTCCCTTTTTCTCATCCTACCCATGAGTGCCATAGCTCCTGCATCATGCTCTTGTAACAAAGTCGGTGTTTTTTAAAGTAGAGTTCAGAGGCCTTTGACCTGTGCACATTTATTTACGGACTCCGCTTTATTCAGTCTTTCCCCAGATGCTAGCCTGTCAGGCACTCAGTCTTATCGCTACTGAATACATTGGAAAACCACTGTGCGTGCCTTCACTGTCTTCATTCTCCACAGCCCCACTTCCATATGTATCAGCTGAGTGGATAGAGCCATTGTCTCCACCTACAGGATGAGGTGTATTACCAGCCATGCCAATTTATTGTTAGTAGTTTACTATGGACTCTGTTGGGCCTGGATTTTGTTCACTGAAAGCAACGAAGAGTGAGATCAACTTTTCAGAAGTGAAATGAGAGCATCTAGTCCAGTCCCCTGGATCGTGGCAAGACTATTCTTTATCGAGACCATTCCTGCCAGGTGTTTGACCTTTTCTTAAAAATCTCCCATGATAGGGATTCCACAACGTCCGTAGGCAATTTAGTCCAGTGGCTAATCACTGATGTCCACCTTATACTTCGCTTGCTGCAATTTAAGCACATTACTTCTGGTCCTATCCGCCAAGGTTAAGCAGAACGAGTTTTCTCCCTCCTCTTTGTAACAACCATAATTACTCAAAAACTCTTATGTCCTCTGTCTTCTCTTTTCCAGACTGAAAACCACATTATTTTCAATTTTCCCTCATAGGTCATGTTTTCTACACCTTTCTCCATTTTTTTTTAACTTTTCCCCCCACAGTTTGTCCCCATCTTTCCTGAAATGTGCTCAGAACAGGACACACATTTTCCAGTTGAGGCCTAATCAGCACAAGTAGAGCAGAAGAATTACTCCTGTTAATAAATCCCAGAATGATGTTAATTTTTTTTTCAACTGTTGACTCATTTAGCTTGTGGTCTATTATGACTCCTAAATCCCTTTCTGCAGTATTCCATCCTAGATAGTCATTTCCCATTTTCTATAGGTGCAACTGATCATTTTCCCAGTTTGTCTGGATCATTTTGAATTTTAGGTGCAACTGATCATTTTCCCACTTTGTCTGGATCATTTTGAATTTTAATCCTATCTTCTAAAGCACTTGTAATGCCTCCCAACTTGGTATTGTCTGCTAACTTTATAAGTGTACTCTGTTTGTCATTATCTCAATCATTGATGAAGGTCTTGAATAGGACCAGACCCAGAAATGATCCATGTGGAACCCCACTTGATATTCCCTTCCAGTATGACTGTGAACTATTGATAACTACTCTCTGGAAATGGTTTTCCAACCAGTTACACAGCCACCTTATAATAGGTCCATCTAGGTGGTATTTCCCTAATTTGTTTGAGAAGGTCATGTGAAACAGTATCAAAGGCCTTTACTAAAGTCAAGATATACCATATATACCACTTCCACCCCCTAGTGGCCCAGATATCTCCTCAATTAGCTCATTGAGTATTCTAGGATGCACTTCAAGTCATCAGGGGTATATCTACACTACAAAGTTAATTTGAACTAACAGACGTTAATTCGAATTAACTTTGATAGGCGCTACACTAGCGCTCCGCTAGTTGGAACTTAATTCGAACTAGCGGAGCGCTTAGTTCGAACTAGGTAAACCTCATTCCACGAGGACTAAGCCTAGTTCGAACTAAGTAGGTGGGAGAGGGGAAGAGAGAGGCTGGGAGAGGGGAGGGCAACTAAAATGATCAGGGGTTGGGAACAGGTCCCATATGAAGAGAGGCTAAAGAGACTGGGACTTTTCAGCTTAGAAAAGAGGAGACAGAGGGGGGACAGGATAGAGGTCTCTAAAAGCAGGAGTTGGGTGGAGAGGGTGCATACAGAAAAGTTCTTCATTAGTTCCCATAAAGAAGGACTAGAGGACACCAAAGAAAAGGAATGGGTAGCAGGCTTCAAACTGGTAACAGAAAGTTGTTCTTCACAAAGCAAATAGTCAACCTGTGGAACTCCTTGCTGCAGGAGGCTGTGAAGGCTAGAACTAGAACAGAGTTTAAAGAGAAGTGAGATAAAGTCATGGAGGTTGGGTCCATGGAGTGGTATTAGCCAGGGGGTAGAAA